GGGGTGGATATGAGAGAGACGATTTCCTTCTTGCTAACTCGCGACAAGCTGCTCCCGGATTCTTCGCGCGCACCTCCCGGGGACGAAGCTCGCAACGCGAATTACACGCTTCTTAACCTTAACCACCCGGTAACTGGTCGCGCACGTAAAAATCGTCAATCGTTTGCGCGGCCGAAAAGTATGCCGGCGAATCGTAATCATGAGACCGATAGATAAATAAATGAATAGAGAGAGAGAGAGAGAGAGAGAGCATTTATTGCTGTTCTAGAGCAAGCCGTCTAAGAACGTACATACAGTAAAGAATATGATGACAAAGAAAGAGAAATTGAAATAGCTTAAAAAATAAATGCAAAGAAAATAAAGTGATAAGAGATAAGAATTATAAAGAAAAGAAAAACACAAAAGTTAATCAAAAATACATGGAAAGAAGAAGAAATACAGAATGCGAGAAACGAGAAGATGAAAATTTGAAAGAGAGAGAGAGAGAGAGAGATTTTTTCTTTATTAAGATTCATTGATACTTTTCTCACTTTTTTTCGCAGTACCTTTTGTTATTTTTGTGTTTTTAAAATTTATGAGATTTCAGTTAAAACACTTTGTTACCTATTTTACCCATCTGGCAGATTTTTCTAATTTTACTCGACTGTTCGTTTATCTTAGCCGGATAAATAACTTCCTCTTCGTAAACCACCATGACGCGTCTTTAGAGAAACGTAGTTTTCGTCCCTTTCTCCGACGGCGAACCTCTTAGAAGGCAATCCTTCTTTCTTTCTCTCTGTCTCTCTCTCTCTCGCCAGAGAGAAGAGAATGACTACGCGACGAGAACGAAGAAGGAGAACACGAAGACGGGAAACGAGAGTTCGCTTGCAGCTTATACGAGTAGACGTGGAGGCAGACAGAAGGAGTCAGCACAGAATATACAATCAGCATGATTGTTTGACACCCCATAATCAGCGTCCTTACCCCTACTATACCGGCAACATCGTGGCTTCGTCGTTCGTTTTCTTCCCCCTCCTCGCCCGCGCCCGTTTCTCCTTTTCCTGGTGCTCAAGCAGGCACTCCTCTCCGTTCCTTTCACGTTGATATCACTTGAGAGATCCGCTCCTCTCCTCTCTTCTCTCGCCTCTCATTCCTCTCGCATCATCTCTTCGGGTACCTTACTCGGTCCGTTGCCACTGCGCGCGGGGCCTCATTACCCCGATCATGACTCGAAATGAGACTTGGCGGGGCAAGGAAGAAACGGACACGGTTATATTATAAGAGACAGAAATAATGCTCGCTTCTCTTTTTTCTTCACTTAGGGGACCTCCCAACCGACGTGGCGTTTACTCCTTCAGCGAAGACAATGCATATATACGGTAAGAATTTGTGCTTTGAAATTTACACATGAAATTGCGATACGCTCGAAAGGCAACTGTCGAATTATCTGCAATACACTCGAGAAAAATTGTGCAAAATGTTTCACTCTCGTCTTATTTCTATTTTATTTTCTAAACTATCGAAGCGTAAATCTTATCAATTTCGCGTAAATAGTTATACCCGCTATTACATTTTTACTCCTATATATACTTGTGATAGAATTTTTAGCGATTTCACTTCTTCTTATAGAACTTTCCGGCACGTACGTGAGATTTAGAAAGCAATCACGAGATGACGAAGTCACGGAGAGCAGAGGCGAGGAGGAGAGAGAGAGAGAGAGAGAGAGAGAGAGAGAGAGAGAGAGAGAGAGAGGGGGAGGAGGAGGCGAATAGGTTCGATTCAGTAACGTCGCAAGCGAAGCGAACAGAAGATAAAAGGAAGAATCACGCGATCGAAGGGCAAAAACAACATGGATCCAGCTCCGGATCGATCGAGAAGAGACCGATCGATCCCTGGTATTACGCAGACGTGCACGTGAGTCGTACGTGAGTGCACGAGCATGTCGGGTGTGCCGTCGGCAGAAAGAGTTCGAATCGAGTGAGAAGAATTATCTGAAGATGGAGGGGCTGCTAAAGACAAAACGGATAGCAGCAGCACTTCACCTCCTCTTCCTCTGATCTGAGTCTGACGAGAGGGAGAAGATTACATCTACCGACGCTCATTTTGCACCGCGAGAGTCCGGTGTGTATCGAAGTTAGGAACTGCTCATTAGAGACGCGAAGAAGGAAAGGAGTGTCGAATCGATGAATGAGCGATAAATGGAATATTTGCCGAGATTACGAATCCATTCATGCGAAAGTAGTTGAAGCGAGATACATCGTGTTGGCTATAATCTGACTGACCTATGATGGCTTTTTTTAGATCCTAAACGGTTAACGAGTTATTTTGCATTCTTTGGAGTTTCTTTCGTCCAATGATATAAGCTTTGCGCGGATAAACAAGCTAATTACGATCCATAGAAGTGTCTCGAGTGTGACGAGAAGTCTCAGCCCGGAAGGTGACGGAGGACCCGATCGCAGGGCGAGAAGAGGCGAGGAAGCCGGGGGTTGCGGAGGAGGAGATTAGGGCAAAGAGAAACCGCAACGTAGCTTCAAAGAGGTCTCACCAGCCAGAGGCGCGTCTACTTAACTTTGATCAGGTCGAGACCGCTGATGCGAGACGAGCCGCGTAGAAATAAAGTGCCTTGCCTCGACCTTCCCGCCTTTTTGCATCCTAAATTATCTCGATAGTTCGAAATATCCGAAGCAATCCCGACAGGCGCGGAGCACGGGATAGCTTCTGTTGTCGTCGCGCGAGAGAAACGATCGCGCGCGTTTTTGCCAGCTAGACGAATTTCCACCGTAATTGAACGACTTGAAACCGCCGCGGTAATTTTCAAACAATTCTTTACCTTTTTTTATGGGAAGCAAATTTTTGTCGGGTGGAAAGATTTTGAGCGAAGGAAAATATTTTCGCAGAGGTCTTCGGTATTTTATCCATGACCGATGACGTTCTTCCACGATGAGGAGGAGGAGGAGGAGGACACTTTTTCCTCGTGCTATGGCGACGCAACGGTGCATCGAGAGAGATCGGCGAGGAGGGAGATGGAAACGGCAGGTTGAATGTCGTTATTACGTTGAATTAGAGGGTGCAGAGCCGGAACGAGGTATGAAACTATTACCTCGCGAAACGGCAGAGATCTCCTCTCTTTCTCTCCCATTCCGGCATCTCTCCCACCTCGATTCCTACCTCTTCACCCTCTCGCGACAAAGGGTTGGGTGGGGTAGAGCGCGTTTCGAGTCCGCTCTCTGTGAAGCATGTTGCGCGAAAGGAGCGAGATGATGATAGCGGCACACCACGCTTGTGATATTCATCATAAGCCAGAGATGCAAATAAACTGGACGTTGTTGTTTCTACTTTAACACTTGGATCAGCGACACGTAAAAATTTCCACTAGGTTATGAACAATCTCTGCTATAATGTTATCGCAGAGTACTCGTCTACTCTAACATGGAAAGAACAGTTTTGCTGATATATTTAAAAATTCAGCTGGATACAGATCTAAAAATAATTTTGTTTGGGCCAATAAAATAATCACGTAGGACACTTTAAGTGTTATTGAAATGTTACAAAGTTTTAAAATTCTAGCAACTAATTTTAGTGTCTTACACAATTATTTCGATGCTTAAAAAAAATATATTGTTATATCTATATCTAACTAACTTTTTAGATATTTCAACAAAACCGTTCTTTCCTGAAGATTTTCTCCGAAAAATTTATCCATAATGAATAGAATAAAAAGATATATATCTTTAAAACACACAATTCTCGTTGATAAATGTAAAAGGTTTTCCCACCCTCTTTAAAAAGAAACGTTCGCATAAAAATTATGCGAAACAAATGGTTACTGTTTTTTTAATTTTTTGAAAAGCTCTCTCAAAGATTATTCACATTCGTTTGTATCATAATGAGGATGATGTTCACCCAAGTTTTAAATAAACGATAACCACCTGCATTTCGTTTATTTAATTTTAACGTGTACTTAAATACTAATGAGATTGCGTGCAATAGCTTCACGTAAAACAAATCGGATTGACTTAGAATTGTCGGAGCGACTTAAAATAGACAACAACGAGATCAGAACTTACCGCCGTGCTGAGGACTGCGCTTGTAGCAATCGTGATGAACGGAAGAGCCGCCAGTAGCCCCGAGGTGTGTACTGGAAGCCGGCGATGCGGTCGGGTCGGTGTTGTTGGGGTTGGTGCAGGCACCGCTAACCGAATTCGTGGTGACGTTGTTGCCAGTCTGCTGGTCGTGTAAGTGACTGCTGCTGTGATGATGGTGATGCTTATTCCTCCCGAACGATTCGAGTTCTCGCAAGTGGGACCTGAATGAGGTCGGCGCGTCGAGGAAGGGCCTTTGTCCTAGACCGAGCGCGCGAAATTGCTGATGTTGCTGCCCTGAAAAAGTTATTCGCACATATTACACACGATCGTACTATTTGCAGCTGAGTCATTTCAATTTTAATCAATATTAGCGTTAATTGATAATCGAGGATCCAATAGACTCGAACATTTTTTTATTCATGTGCCGAACATTTTGAAAAATGGTTTACAATAAATGTTTTGTTACATAATTTTAAATTAAATAATCTTATTTTCTGAATCTTTTGATCTTTAAAGATAAATCGTTCAATACATAAACTTACGAAGATAAATTTTAATTTAAAGTTTTGTCGGAGCGAATACTAAGTAGGATTAAAAATTGAATTGACAAAAAGGTTCTGATGTTTCTTTTTTTACTACAAATCGTTTCGCGAAGTGTTCCAAAAGATGCACTTTAAATGTTTTCCTTGGATGTCATTTCGATTTTTCTATATTACGCTTTGACACGATTCGGACGTGGAATTTCTAAACCGGACAGATTGACCAGTACGCGTCTACGTCATTAGTCCAATAGAACGGGATAATGAAGAAACTCGACCTCTCTTCCCTTGCTAGACTTCAATAGCATTCCTCGCATATCCGAGGCCTCACGGATAGACAGAATCTCGAGCCAAGTATCGCAGCGTATACATAACGTGGGTATTCCGATTCCCTATTACGTCGCATCCTAATACACGCTTGATACATATTGTTACACGACAATGCACATGACTCGGCACGTGCATGAGCTCGGCAACGTGCACAAACTCGGACATAATAATCGGACGTGCCTAGACGAAATATTGCAGATATCAGATAATTGATGGACTTTGAAGTTTCGTTTGTCCCTCTACTGACATTGATACGTAAAATCAATATTAAAAGCTAATTGCAAGGATTAATTGCGATAAAAATTGAAATAAAATGATGGAGATCATTAAGAAATAACCCTTGTCAAAAATGTCAGGTTCATTTCAAAGAAACACGTGGCAGACAAGAATTTACAACATTATACTTTTAGACGTGTCAAGAGTTACAAGCTCTCTATAAATCTTAAGCTATATAAGAAATTGACCACTCACAATCAAATGTGAGAAGAATAATCAACTATGGTTGGAAGCTTAAGTAATGGCTTGTTGTAGAAAGCCTATTAGGGTGAGAGTACAGAGTCTCGCATAACGCATAATGTATAAAAAAAAAAACGAATCAAACAATCCTTCATTTTCTTTCTTTCCATGAAAAAAAATGAAAGTCTGACTGGTTGAATTTCTTGTGCCTTATGCGTTCTGTGTTATGCAAGGATTTGTATTTCTGTCCTTAATCTTCATAATCTTCAGATTTTTAATATTTACATATTGATGTCGATAGAAAAAGAGAGAGAAACAACTCTGAAACTCTGAAGTCTATCAATTATCGATAGGTAACAAAAGTAACACATTTGCCTTCACCGTTTTCCCATGCTTCTCTCGCAATCTCTTTCTCTCCCCTTCAACGGTTTCCGCACGAAGGAGAAGCCGAGCCTAGGCGCAAATTGTTATTCTTCGAGGGTAAGAGGGGAGAAGAAAAAGAGGCAGAAAAGGAAGGAAAGGCAGCGAGAGGAGGGAGAGAGAGAGACGGGGAAACGAAGGTAAAGAAGGAGAGAGAAACACCTCCGGTCACGAGGGCGAACGACAAATAAAGTTCGACCACAAACTGCACGAAATTGTTGGCGAGCCCAGATGGTCAGCTTCAGTGCTCTGAACCGATGCCTACAAGATTATTCCTTGCTACCGACTACCACGATCGGCCCGCGCCAGGAGATACAAGCGAGGGGCCCGTGTATAGGGCCCCGCGCAGATCCCACGACTTCTCACGTACCGGACGCCTATAATGCCCCAAACGTACGGAACGTTACGCAGCGATGGGCCCGTATACACTCTTTGCTTGGTTCAGACTCTCGCGAAAGGTCAAACGGTAGACACGAACTTCTATACTGAAAAACCTTCTCGGTAAAAGTGGATGTTCGAAGAAACTCGAGACATCTGTGTGATGATTCAATTCACAGATGATTCAATTGATGTAGATATTATACAAGAATTCTTTTAAAGAAAAAAAAGAATAGAAACTATAGATATTGCGATATTTGGATATTATATTCGCGCATATATCAATGCGAATATAATGTCAGCAAAAGTGAACGTTTGTGAAGTTTTGAGGGTCAAATATAAATGATTCAATAAAGAGAAGTGAATCTGTCAGGAAAAATGCTGTTTCTCTTTAATTCAATTCTTATAAGATTAATTGTAATATAATACATTCCAGATCCAAGTTTTAATCTTAGATGGAATAATATAAATTTTTCGTGATAAATTCTTTGCATCGTTCTAAGATGCCTATTAGGATTAGCATTGTTATTGTCACTTATTAAATTGATTATCTATTTAATTTCTATTGTAATATTACTATTCCATCATTAATTTAACACTGCATTTTCCAAATCAGCTACAATTAGCGTGCACAGTTTGAAGTACTGGAAAATGTATTGAAAAATACATATGGAAACATTATTAAACAGAAAGAATTAATTTGCTAAAGTATCTAAAATTCTGATTAAAGTGCTAAATTTCAGTCACATAAATGATTTTTAGATACGATATACGGATTTTTTGTATGTGAGTATGCAAAGAATCTGTACATAAAAATTCCACAATGCAAATTTATTTACATCACTGAATCATCTATCCCTCAAACATATTTTATTAAAAGCCACGTTGATAGAAAAATGATACAAATAAAAAATTAGTATTAGAGTTGCAGTGTTCGAATTTTAAAAACTATGACGTAGTTTTAAAAACTGCAGTTTTGTGAATATATGTATGGAGCATCCTTAATTTATTATATTGTATACAAGTAGGACTATCGAGATTAAAACTAAAAAATAATTAAATGAACAGACGAGTGAGAGTAAAACTGCACGCTTAATGATACGTTAACGTTGATCAATATATTCAATAATTACATGTAAATATAATATTGTTTCATTTTCGGACGTATCTACTGAATTTCAATATCTTCAGCGAATTATATGTATGTACATTGACGTTAACTTTTCAAGATATTTCATACTAGTACTTCTTTAAAAATTACATTTTAGTGAACAATTTTTCACAATTCCTATTGGAGGAATGGAACCGTTTCTGTAATCCTTATGACAGTAAACGCTAGACAGTTATTGTAAAAAATTTCAAATTAATATATATATATATATATACATTATACTGTGTTATAAAACGCGGTAATAAAAGCTACAGTTGAATTAACGAAATACTTCACTTACTGCAATAAAAAATTAAAATTTCTCTTTAATAAAAATTTTTTTCACTTATTGTTAGATATAAATAAATGTTTATTGCCAATTTGTGAAAATACTGTTAATGAATAATACGTATATAATTAATATTAATCAAATATGTATGGAAAATTGTAACAGAAAAAATAAAATTATCCGTACTCTTTGTCTTTATTAAAATTTTGCTTAACTCAACACTTTTTAAAAATTGTACTAAAATTTATTAATTTTAAACGTATTTTAATTTTCTATCAATGCAGCGATATAATCGTGACGAATGCAATCTAGCGACAGTCAAGAATATAAGTATAAGAAAAAGAAGATGCTAGAGGATCGCTAGAAAAGACGTATGGAAAACATTTAATTACAATAAACAAGAATAATGGTGATATAACACCTTCATCAATCGCCCCTGCCGCTCGTGAAGTATGGATAAGAAGAGAGAGTAAGAGAGAGAGAGAGAGAGAGAGAGAGAGAGAGAGAAGGTAGAACGGAGAGAGCAATAATTCCAATCTCCACGGCACGAGTGGTGGACTTATCTAATCAAAGTGTGGCGGCTCCGGGAGGACGGAAATAGCGCGGCTTTTTCCTCCTCTCTAATAACGGGGCCTCTCCCTCCGCCCGTCTTACGTTCTCCTTGACGCCAGTGCAACGTTTCCTCGATTTCAATTCTCCTTTGCTCTTTCTTTTTTACATCACCTAAAGTATTTCGCGCATATCCGTGCACATCCGCTCTCGATTTCAGATCGTCGTGACGATAACTGCGAATAACTTTTCCCCAGAGACTGCCATTTACGATTGTATACTCGAGCGGAAGCATCGCTAGATCCGCCACTTTTCGACGTCGCTTTATCAGGAGGTGGTCTTTAATCGGACTTTTCGGTCGCCGATAGAGCCTTCCTCTGACCGGTATCAGGATCAAGAGTTGGCCACGAGGGAATCCAATCGCGAAGTAGCCCGGTTCCAATTTTAACATTTTGATTGACGGCCACCGACTGTCGAAATTGCTTCGTATGATTCCTTTCGTCGCTATCGGTTTTCTCGAAAACAATATTTAAGAGAATGTCGATTGGCGAACGTACGATTTTGTAGAGATAAAGCGGAACATTGATTGACCTGGTAGCAAGAAATCAACGAATCGTCATTGGTCGGCGGCGACGCGCGATGGATCGGCACTTTTGTCTCATTTTACTACGTGAAATTTTTCACAGAATCTCGCGAATTTCTAAAAAAAAATTCCACACTTTCTGTCGCCTGTCATAGAGTAAAAATACGAGATCATAAAGTTCATCTCTGGTAATATACGTACATCCGGCGCTGCCTCGTCGCTGGTATTAAAACAGGAAACCATCTCGTGAATTTATATATGGCTACTAATACACGACATTTCAAATATGGATCAATTACGAAGTGAAGCAAATTCAATTTCGACCTTTGACTGACAGCACCCATCCATCGGTATCGTTTCGCTCGCTTGCATTTCGATGATTTTGGACTACGGTAACAAGAGCGCCCACTGTTTCGCGGAATTTTCAAACTATTTGTTTCGCGGACGCCTCTCCCGTTCTCAATTTATTCGTACCGCGTTCGATTTCTGCGTTACGCTGCTGTTGCTGCTACTGTTTCGGTTATTGGCAACTGCCAAATTACTCAGACACTACTTCGTGATCATTGATCTGTCTGTCACGAAAAGTCTATCACCTTGCGTTCTAATCTTTCCGGAACGAAAGATCAGACATTATTACACTGTGCGATCAACTTTTAAAATTTTCCAAAAGTCACGTGGGTTTGATTATGTCGGACACGACCCACTATCATCTCCTCAAGAGGTAAGTATAAGAATGTGGCGTCAATTTGAAGTTACGAATTTTGAGGAGTACAAGTAGTGCTGTTCTTAAGGTCTTAAGGTCAAATATGATCGCAAATACAGGCACACACACTCGCGCGCGCGTGCGAATTTTATTTTGCAAACACAAGAGATAGCGTTAAGTTGTATGGATATAATAAATATATGCGTTTATTTCGTATATCGCGCATCAAAGCTTTTTCATGCGCCATTATCACTTTGTATCGCGTCACATAAATATAAAAATATTGGATTGTGTTGAAAAAGGAAAATCGATTCATTTTGTTACGTGTGCGTTACATTTGTTGTGTCAGAGCATAAAAGGATTATGAATGAAACCATCGAGGAGGTGTACAAATTTTATTTTGGTGTCATCGTGAAAAGTGCGTAGAAATGTGCATATGGAATGTGCGTGAAAGCCGTGATTTCAAATTTTCACAGGAAACATCGAGTTGAAAACCGTAAAAAACCTTAGTAGATGACATGATGACCGCTTTTGAGAAATCGACATTAATATGTTACTGAAAATCCATTTCTTACACCACCATCTTGAATTATTTGAAAAACAGTTTGCTATAAAATCAAGCGAACAAAAAAAATGTCATCCAAAAACAAATCAGATGGAGTGTCAATATATAGGAAAATCTCTCTTTGCTATGATTTTTTACTTTTGCTGGTCAATTGCTGAATAAAATAAAAAAAAAACATTAATGTAATTGTTCAATTTGTTCAATAAAAAATTCATTTAACGCGAAAAAAGTTGTGTCTAAAAGAATACAAAAATAAACGGGCAGATGTATCTACATGTGCGTGTGCGTGCGTGTGTGCGTGATATTTAACCTCAAAACCTTAAAAATCGGCGCTATTTGATCTCCTCAAAATTCATAGCATTGATGCCCTATTCTTATACTATCTAACATTGCTAAATTCCTTGGGGAAATAAGGATGTGTCCCCGACACAACCAAACCTAAGCGACCTTTGGAAAATCTTTGCACAGTGTTATCAAAAACATTACCTTTTCTTCTCAACGGCACGTTTATAAATCAATTAAGTAAAGAGAGAGGCTGCAAATATTATAAGATTTAAATTAAGTTTAATGTTGAATTGAAAAAAATGCTTAGTGAAAAAACGGTTTTTATAAAATATCCAAAAATTTAGCTAGATACTGATCTGAAGATGGTTTTTTATTGGACTCTGAAAATAAATTATGTGTATTGAAAATATGTTCTAATTAAACCAATCAAATAAGAATGGCATTTTTAAAAGAGAGAGAGCAAAAATAGAATTTCTGAGTTATAATAATAGTCTCATCAAAATGCTATTCCGGTTGGCTCTTTTCATTAGTTTAATCATATAACATTTATTTCAGTATAGAGCATTCAAACTGATTGCTAAAATGTTAAATTTTTGCAACATGTTTATTATGCTCGAAATTCTTATAATTATTTTGACGATTCAACAAAATTATTTTGACATCTGTATCAAAACTTTTAGATACTTTAGTAAAATCGTCCTTTTTGTCGTATAGTAATATTTTCTATGTAACTTTTATACACAGATAAAATTGATTATCAATTTAATAATAATTAACGTCGTAAAACATCGCAAAAAATTTATTACGAAAAATATTACTGAGTCAGATTTTGAACCTGGACATGGAGTGTATCATAAAGTCTTTTTTCTTTTACTGAACTAGTATGCATTTTTAAACTTATAGTAAGATATATAGGTATATGTTTGATATTTGAAGACGCGAGAAAAAAGTTCTAATGCAAGAATAAAAACAGACCTATGATTTATCTTGTGGATTGAATGTGTGTGTGAGAGAGAAAAAGAGAGAGAGAGAGAGAGAGAGAGAGAGAGGGGGGGGGAGAGAGCCCCTACCGGATTTGCCTCTCTTCCTAGAGGACAGGAAAGACTCGCTACACTAAACTCTTTCGCTGCGAAGCGGCGAATTACGAAAATTGCTCGATTATTGGCCACATTGGTCTACTGGGCGCACGGGGTGCGGCGCGGAGGGGGTGATTTTCGATAACAAAAAGCTTGCGATTATGCACGCAATAATGAGAGCCGGCAGGTGTCTGCGGGGCATCGAGCGTCGCGCATTGTTGGCAGCACAATGAAAGCGCTGCCGGTTGTTTTGCTCGACGGCGTTCGTACGCCGGTTGCTGCTGCATAGATTGTCTCCCTGATGCGTGCCAGACGATGAGGCACGCCATCGGCGATGCCCGTGTATGCAATATGTCGTCATGCGTGTTCTATTCCGCGACGGTCCGTGCCACGCGACACACGCGTTCATTCCGCGTCTCTTTCGGCTTTGGAAAGGGCCAGTAGGTCGGCGACGCGACGCGACGTCCGGTCTGCCTCGAGCCGACAGCTTAAACGGCGTAAACAAGCCTCTCGTTTAAAGCGGGTTCCACCTACCACTTGTGGATTATCGGAAAAGATAATGATCGTAAAGACGTAAAAAAGCATGCAATACGATACTCCACGCTTGTTCGGTGTAACGTAAAGTACGTCTATCTACAAATTTTGTTTCTGATATTTTAAGTATTTTAAACTATATCTACTAACTTATCAAATTTATTATACTGATTCCTGTTTCTCAACACCTGAATGGTGATTCTCGATATTCTCGTCTATCTATCTTTAGCTGTTAAAAAAGAATATAATTTTTTAAAAGCGTATTCTTTTTCAGTGTAAATAATCCTACAGAAAACGTGTATCACTTACTGCTAAAAAAATGTTGATTAAAATTTGTTTTTCAGTCCCGGTAAACATCAATTAATAGTAACGTAACGTCAATGTTATAATTTCACACTCAATAATTTATATCAAATTTACATACATTGTTGAGTGCGAAGTTATAGCATTAATTGTCTATTACTATTAGTTTGATGTTTACCGGAGTGATATTCAATCAAATTTTTTTTTAGTGAAAAATTTCGACTGTTTTGATGTATATAAGCTTTCTAAAGTTCCGAAATTCTTTGAACAGGACTGTTGTACAGGCTTACTCGAGAATTGGTATAATCTGTGGATGATGGAATCGAATGATGAATCGAAATTGCTCGAATTGGAATCAAACATCTTCGTTAGAGAAGCGTAGGAAGGATATGGAAGTGAATGGACGCGCGACTTGAAACTTTAACTCCGCCGTTAAGTGCACTTTATGCCAGCTGGAAAATTGACGAGATTCACGCGTTTTTGCACCTGGTCCCGCCCGACACGCGGCCTGAGTCAAGCAGTAAAAACAACGGTAAAATCAATCACGCTCGACCATTTCGAAAAAAATAGTGGAGCCGGCGGGTGTACGCGGCGCCCTGCCTCCATCAATACTTTATACAACAAATGCGAAACGCCCACAAAAAACTGCCGTTTTCGCGGTTAACTCCGCAACGGCTATTAATCTGATATCGAAATAACCATTTTTTTTTTTACTCGCCGCGGATGCATCCGAAAATAGGTGTCGGCTGAATCGTCGGGCGCACGAGAGCTCGCGATATCTCCTTTTGATCCAACAACGCGGAGGGACAGATCGGCTGCAGTTATAAAACCGGAGGGTCGGGACAGAAGCCAACCCCCGCTCGACTTTTACTACACATTTCGCGTGATTCTATTAATTTCGGCCCGACCGGTAATGAACCCACCAACGGAATGTTTTAGCAATTTTTTAGGGTGTTTCCGCGGCGAATTAGCGTAAGCGAGTTAGCGTATCCGGCGCGTGTGAGCGCGCCCTTGTAAAAGCATTGTCTCCCGCGTGCGTGTATCATACATACGCGCGCGCGTGTGTGTGTGTGTGTTGGTACGCGAATAGTCCGACCCGAAACACGCAGCAAGCGCGATACGCACATCGACCACTGCATCATCGTGCACCATCTGCTCGGTAATGACTCCCCATTACCGCGTACAGGGACTTTCGTTGAATTATCGGTACATTTTCAGGGAATCCCCGGGGCGATGCGGCAGCGCGTCGCGTCGCGTCGGATAGATCTCGCGATCGAAGCGCGTCGCATAAAGTGTCGCATGTCCCACTTACTCGTTTTCGATCGTGGCTCCCGTGGTCCATCGACGGTCACCTTAATCGCCCTCGTGTAGGTCGCTACTTGGGGTGGTGTCGTCGACACGGTAATGGTGATGCTGAAGCTTTTTCCTGTCACAGAGAACAATGTATATGAATTGCCTGCCTGTATGTATACCAAAAACTGTTTGCGCTTTCGTTAATTTAACTCTTCTATACTTAGCGTCAATTTATCTCGTCGAGTCGTTTCGATTTACAAATGCATGATAAAATGCTAATTTTTTAACATTTTTGCATGTCTCATTAAGTTCATATGCATTTTTAAGTTGAAATTAACATTTTATTTTTAACAGTGTAAAATATTGCTGCTGCAAGCTTCTGTGTATGAAATTTGATCGCAATCTTCTCGCGCATTATTTTTGTATACAGTTATTTTTCTCAAAGAGTATATAACTAATTTTAAAAAAATGTCTGATTTTCTAGATATTATGTAGATTTATATATATAATTTATTTAATATCAATCAAAAACGCTAATTAACATATTTGTTTTTGTCTCCGATTAAATGCGAGCAAGATGACGTCTAATTTATAATTTACAATTATATTCGTGTCTATTAGATCTTAACGGAGCCTCGGTGTTCTTAAGCGCGTTAAAAGATAATAGAGAAGAGGAGTGGATGCTGGGGGTGGAGCGGTCGTGTACATATATCATCGGTGAAGGTCTGGAAGTTGAAGGCTCGGTATATTAATTCCTTCTCCATAAACGTCCGTCGGAGAGATTGACTACGCGCTCTTAAACGGCCCATCGCGCGCTAATATGCATTCGGTAATTCGCCGCTCTTTCGCAACTCTTCCGTAGGAGAAGCAGCCAGTTGTCCCTTTCGACCAATTATTGTCCCTCTCGGACGGAGGGTTCGTTCTCGCCGGTGAGAAATTTATACCTAGATTTAGTCTCTCTCGTTATTTACGTTCCTCGGAATTAGAAACCCAGAGGACTTTCGGTATACGCTTTGGTATACGAACCGAAAATCGTCCGTCGTGGTAGTCCGATAGGCATAACAGGCGATAACTTGACGAAAACAATTCATATACGGATGCCATCTATTTCGCGGGGACCGTTCGCCAAAACACTCGGTGTCAACTTGTCCAATATGACGAAACGAAACACGACCAAGACTGCTGTTTACGCCCAAAAGAGACGATACCTAACGCGCCGCGGACATGCAATCGTTTGTGTTGGCGTAAATGTCAACGATTTGTAATTGTCTCCCCTTGGTACACCCAGTTCCACCTCGCTGTGTCTGTCAACATGATAACCGGCATCAAACACCGCCAGCCCCCGCGCTACCCCCGGGAACTGCAACTGACTGCAGAGCTACATGGCGTTATATCCCAGTTATATCGCAGCCCTCTCCGCTCTTCCGCGATAGAACCACCCCCTCCCCCCCGGCTGCACCCGCCACCCGGTCCCAGGATACCTCCCGCGGCCGTCATTGCCATCGTCATCGTTCATCTGTCGCGTGCAAAGAGCATCCGGGATGTCGATTCAAATTTTTGCGTCAAAAGGCGATTTCTCTAACGTGATTTTTTTTTTTTTTTTGTAAAAATAAGCGACTGTTGGACAACGAAGATGAAATATAATTTTTATAAATTTTCGTGGGAAGGCCTAATAATTCTTTCGTCGTGCAAGCACTGACAATAAGTCAACAAAATTAGGATCGTTGTTATATATAGATAGCACGTTAGAGAATTTTTGAAAGATTAAGATGTCCAATTGGAAAATCGCGGAAAATCCGAGGATCGCCAAAGTCGGAAGAGTGGAATGGGGGAAGGTGGTGACCAGTTGGAGGAAGGGTCGCGCGTTGAGCTAGGCTCCCTCTCCCCCCGGCCCGAGTCCATCGCATTTGGGGCTAATAATGCCGCACAGCCGACTCCCCTCTCCGGCGCCCGAACCTGCGGTTAATACTCGATGATGGGAACGGTCATCTGCAGAGACAGGACCCGGTCTGTGCATTCGCGAACGACGGACGGTCGGTCGGACGGACGTACGGACGGGCGGACGAACGGACGGACGGGCAAACGGACGGACGGACAGACAAAACCGGGCCACGCGTATGTGGCACCTATATAACGTGCAGCATCACAGCTTGACTACTCACGATCTCCCGTGTGTGTCTCTCTTTCTCTCTCTCTCTCTCTCTCTCTCTCTCTCTCTCTCTCTCCCTGCGCGCGTGTGCATGTGTATACATATGTGTCGATGCGTTGGCGGATACACCGACGACGAGATGAGCGCGCCAACCCAAACCGCCCACACACAACCACCCGAAACCACTCGAAACCGTCCGTTAATACTCGTGGCGATGAGCGGAGGGGACGAGGATCGCGTAGGGCTAAGCGAGCAGCAGCAGCAGCAACGGCAGCGTACGGGGTAGAAAGGCTAAGGGGGTGCGGGTGGGCGAAAGGGAACGAGAGCGGACGCACGTTGGTGGTAGGGACGGAGCGGAGGTCCCAGAGTCTCCCAACAGGATGTCTCTGCAATTGTCAAATAATTACTATCGGTGGTAATTTCAGCCGTGTCGATATAGACTGCGGTATATTACTAATTATAGGCACGGGCCGCTTTCGACCCCGGCGATGATGATGGAACTGCCCGTCGTCGTTTTCAGCCTCCGGTCCTCTTTGATTCGGCGCTACCATATTTCGTTTCTTTCCGACGCGACGGTGCGTTTTCGGAATTATCCTACGAGAGGGGCGACCATTACCGCCGGGATCACGGAAACTCTTCTCCAAACACACGTCTCCATTTGTCAAAGACCTCGCACACTCTTTTGAAACGGCGGTCGATGTTTCATATAAGTTTACGATAGTTTTTAATGAAAAGAAAAATGATCGCCGAGACCGGTTTGCGGTTGTTTCGCATTATTTCCTTTTTAACGTATAGACTGACTTTAATAGGCGGCTGATTAGAGGTAATAAACTGCGAGGTGTGTGATCGGCGAGTTGTAATCTCTTACGTGACAACAGAAGACACGTGTAAAAGCAATTTCAATCGGATATATACCGACAGAGAAAATTGTGCGGTGAGAAAAATCGTGAGAGGGATATCAGACCGACTCGCCAAGTCGTCGAAAAATAATCTCGTCGCGCTTGGTATACGTGTCGCGAGCGCTCTTTTTAATCGAGGAGGCAAACGGCCGATTTTTCGTGGCCTCGCCGTTTTAAAATCCTCGCTGCAATTTCTTGAATCAGTTTGCCGGCCGATGCGATGCAATTCAATCAAATTAATAAGTCGCGGAAACAAAACCTCGATGATAGGAGGGCCGGGTACGCCCGATGGTGGTGGCCGGTATCAACACACCGAGAGCGGTTTGGTCAATCGCCGAAATTGAGTATTATGGATTATCGGGGAGAGATTGAAACGGCAAAAAAAAAAAAAAGTATATAACAACGAGCCGAAAAATGGACAAAGGGATTGAAGGATTTCCAAGCGAGGGAAGTGTCTCTTTCGCTAATTGACTCCAGGGACCGATGCACCTGTGCGTCAGGAGGACGTAAAATCGCTGACCCTGCACTTCATGATCAAATCAAATGAAACATAGATGACGCGCTACGGGACGATATCCCGTCGTGTATGAGCAGTCTGACCCGTTAATTCATAAACGCGCCCTCCGGATCGTGGGGTGCAAAATGCATTTGTAGGCTTTGATAAAGCCGCCTGCTGATCCGTGAATAATTATGATAGGCTCGGAAATCGATATTTCGATAACGCAAATGAGGTCGCGAGTGCAACTGTAAAGATTTCGTAAGAAAGACGGCAATTCAAGAGCTTTTACTTTGTATGTGCATTTTGTATTATGTATTTATATAAATTATAAAGTATTAATCAAATTAATTTTGTACATATATTTTATTACGTATATATTATTTTTTATATACTTTTTGTTATATTTTATTAGGGAAAAATGATTACGTTAATTATTATGATTCAGCCAATGTTGCTTCGATCAATTTTTTATCAATTAGTATTGGGGTACGAAAGAGTCACGCGGGGATAGAAAATTAATAATGCCGAAATATGAACAAGTCAAGAGCTTCGATCGTTGGTTGATTTTGGCAAGTCATCCTCTCCGTCTATAACCGTCTATATCCGTTGGATGATTTCTGATTAACGGCCAGTTGTTTCGAATGCTCGGTTGGGGCTTGCGGCAGACATCGAGTAATGACTCTGGGGGTGGCAGGAGAGCGGGAACTCGCGAATGGGGACACACGGGGATAGACGAGGGTGGCACGATGATGATGATTACAATAACCGTGATTTTAGAGGGCTGGAAATCGCGGCACGCGCTTTTGCCCGTTCTAGTACTGCAGATTTCTCTCTTACACGGAATGTGATCAAAGGTACAGTAAATTGTTTCCGGAAGGATAATTAAAACGCCGATGCATATTTTTTTTTTACAAACATACGACGTCTTTTATTAAATGGAACGCGCCACTTTAAATAGGAAATACTTTCTGTTGCACAATTCTTTTAAGAATTCTTTTAAGAGAGGAACAAAAAGAATGTAACGATCGAAAGAACTCACCTCTGCCACTTCTGCCGACGAATCTGAGGTCGTTAAATTTGGCGACTTGATTCTTCATTAACGCGGTGGAGTTTCGTAATTCGGCGCAACAGTTCTCGTCATTACCAGCTCGAACTGTCACTAGGGTCCCATCGCCAATCTCGCCGAGGGCAACCACTTTAAATGCCACTGGAAGCGTTTTGTTGGACCGCCAGTGCGTTGGTAGCTGACTGCACAGAAAGTATGGCGAGCCTAAAAACAAAATTCTTCATTATACATAAAATACTTTAATTTAACATTTCGTTTAAACGTGATTTTGATGAAAATGTATAATATACATATGTAAGAATTTATTTGGTTGCTGCAGCCAATTAAAAATGTCTTGTCATATTTTGCCATCTAATTTGCTACAGTAGTCAATCTATTCTTTAAGTGTGGTATTATTAAATTGACGATTCATTTAATTTGTGATATTATTATTTCAGCTTGAGATTATGATTGCGTTTTCAACAAGCAATATATATACTGAAAGATGTATTTAGAATTCATATATTATATAAATATTATATGATATTATTTGGCACCAAAATTTAGTCTCGATCGTAATGATTTTTTTTTTATTTGATTTATTCTTCATACACTGAAAGAAAAGATTTGCTGAACATGGCATAGCATTTTAATTTTTAAAAGAATGAATTATTCTGTATTTTAAAAGAATTAGTCAGTAAATATAACTTATAATACAACAAACATATCGGCAAACGTTGTAAATCACGTTAGAAGTTTTGTTTTTGTTATGTATTATATAAATGAGAAGGTATTATATAAAAGAGAGAGAGAAAGGTGCTTTTTAAAATCTTGCGTAGGACGTTATAAATGCTCAAACCGATTTTACTATCGAAATTCATTGCGGATAGACTAATGCAACCAAAAATTAGCGGCCAATTAAAAATTTCCTGCAGCAGCCAATCTTTTCTTTTAGTGTACACGACGCTTTAGATTAACTTATAGTTGTTGATTCTCGTACCACACGAATCATATTCCAGCAATATTGTAACATGTTTCAGTAATATTGCAATAACATTGTAAACGTCGCAGCAAGCTTTTGTGCTGGGTGGATCTTAAATAATTCTTTGAAGCATAATGCTATGAAAAATATCCTTCTTTTTAGCGCGCTTGAATGTGTACAATGAGACGTTATTCATACGCTAGCTTTAAATTGTGAAATTACTAGAAACACAGAGATTTTTTTTACGTTTTGTCCTATCTATTTAATATGGTTAAGAATTAAAAAAAAACATATTATACGAGGTTTTGCAAAGTACTTCTTTGCATAGAAAAAATGTGTTTTAGAGATTTTAGAAGGTATCACTGATCAACTAATGTTTTGATAAACAATATGTGAGCTAAAGTTGAATGTTTCTCCTTATAATTGAGTACATAAGTGAGATATATTTTCGTTTTTATTATTTCGCGTAATTTTGCATTTCAAATAATTAAAATAAAATTAATTTAATACATTTTATAAAAATTAGAATTTCTGTGCAACGAAGAGATATTTTTGTTGTAAAACCCTACACTTAAAAATGAAAAAGTACAGAAGGAAAGTTGGATTTCGTTCGCTTCTCTATCATTTTTCGTTGTCGTCAGCGACAATCGGTACCAACCTGTCCTAACCAGTTCTCCAGGATGCTCGGCCTGCGCTTCGCCGACGAGCCTTTCGGTCCACCATAGTTCGCCGACGGCGGCACTTTCGCTCATTTCGCCGCCTCCACCTCCGGCGTCGGCGTCGTCTACTTGGTGGTACCTGCTGTTTACACCTTGCAGCGGCGCCAGGGAGGGACCACACGGGCCGGCGCCTTCGTGAGATCCAACGGTGCCGTAATTCTCCCCGCAGCCCACGGAACCCACCGGTAGATGCATCCCATCGGCCAGTAGCCGCCCCTCGTCGCCTAAGTACGCACCCCTCGATTGGAACGTCGTGATTTCACTTATTTCCCAGACGGAGGCGATCTCGTCGTTTTGCCTCGCTATACCAGCTACCGCAGCAGATCCTTCATTCGTAATCGATCAGTCGTACCTTCTTCTCGTCGATTGCGTCGATTTTCATGATCGGTCGCGAGATCATCACTGCGAACTTAACACGGCGGGATTGCGTTCCGGTCTTGATCCTTGATCGATGCGGCAGCTGTTTTCAATTGAGTCTTGCGATATACCGTTGCACTTCTTGCGCGATGCGCGATCAGACAGACCGGCAATTTAAAATACATTGTCACTGTATGTCTAACGTTCAATTACCACATTATTTAAATTTCTCTTTCCTCTCTATCTTTCTGCGTCTATTTAAGAACACTATCACCAAAGCGACACCATACAGCCGAATCATTTAAATCGCGAATTTCTATTCCGACAGGTTGCCGCGCGCTACGAGATGACGCGGGCAGGCGACGATTTCTCGAATTCGATGACAACGTCACGGCGTTACACTTGGATAAACGGTGCACTATCTTAATAAATAATCGCCTCCTGACGCTTCCTTCTGGCGACGGACCGAGTCATGATCGCGATTGTCGGCGGTAGCGATTCGGTCCTCGGTCGACGATCCTCTCTCGCGAACGTCAGTCGCGGTCGACGGTGCGCGACGTAATGCCGCGCGGAGCGATTCAGTCTTCGGTGGACCGCGTGTTCCGCGCGGGAAGCGGCCCGGGACGGCCTAAGCCCCGCGACTCTGGACCCCCGCCTCCACTTCTGCCCCCGGACTGACGCCCCTCGGTGGCAGGAACAAGCTACGCTCCCACCACGCAAAACGCCCGCCCCACGTTGCGCTACTTTTCGCGTCGTGATCTCCGCGACGGAATCTCCGACGTAGTGGTACTCCTCCGTCGACGTCCCTCCTTCAGCATTTCCGCCAACGAAACAGTGACCGTTATTTTACGCGCGCGCGCGTCGAGAGAGAGAGAGAGAGAGAGAGAGAGAGAGAGAGAGAAAGACGTCACATTGACGTTTGCAAATTTCCCGGATTACAAACTGGCACAGGTGATCGGAATATACGTTAGGATAAATTCGTGGGATTCCCCGTGTATCAGCGCAAACGTTTCTAATTTTCCCATTCACTGATTAGCGATTTCACGCAATCGTATTTATATCTTCAATTATGAACGTTTAGAATTTTCCTATGTAGTGATTAGCGATTTCACGCAACCGTGTTTATATGGACATTCGAGCTATTAGTCTTGAGACTAAATATTAGCGATAGAAGTTTAATCACTAAAGTATAGATTTCTAGATACGTTAGTTTAAAGTCCATCGATCGTTGAATATAATTTGGTCAACGACGATCAGTCGTCATTCAGACCACCTCTCTTGATGATAAGGGGGAAGTACCGATAAAATTCTCGATGTTATCGCGTAATTTCTCAGGACTGCCCAGCCTCCCAGGAGCGATATGATGAGTCCAGCCTTCGCGTAATTCTTCCCCCTCTTTCTTTGCAAAGTGGGAACGCGTGATGTGGGGATAGATCGCGTTTTACGATGGTAAAGCTATAACGACAAATCTCCCATTGAATTTCTACCATAATATAACTTATACTACAAACATTTACAAATAGCTCATTTATATTTAATGTAACATTGAGAGTAGTATTATACGTATTAATCCTCCGGAAAAAACTGTAATACAGGTTCGTAGTATTAATTACAGTTATTTAATTTACGTTAATTAAAAGGCATCATTAATTTCAGGGAACTAAAATGACATAACTCGTATATAAAAAGAATTAATAATATATTTTAACAAGGATAATCAAATTTGCAGTATAATATACCTACAGAAATTTAATCATTTGACATTTTTTATAAAAGTTTATAAACAAGTGGAGTCTAATAGATCCACCGTTAACTCCAGAAGATTATAATAATTGTTTATTCTTTATTTAATAAAAGTGTGTATATATATATTATAAGAAAAATATTTTATGCATGTATTATACGTGATTAGAGGAGTCCTTCTGAGGAACATCGGAATACGACTGGAGGATAAACAAATATTTCGGGGAAGAAATATTTTTGGATGCACAGATATGCTCTCTGTATTGATTTAGTTTCTTTCTGACTCATGCAAAATCTCAGCGGTACAGCATCCCATCAAGTAATGGCAAGGCGTAACAAGTGTCTGTGTGACGTCATTCGGCTTTCTGGAGGCGGAGCCTCTCGTTGGGGAAGCAGGTAGAGGGGTCGAACTCTCCCATATCATGCATCGCTTGCCCCACCCCCGCGATTTTGTTCTCCTTTGCGTCTTCACCGTTTTCCACCTCCTGCTTCTTTGACCCCTTTTCCTTTCTCAAGGAAGCTTGGATCTCGACGCTTCTCGTTGGAATGTTAAACGAGTGGTTTAAACGATATTCTTTCAAGTTTAAGTAATCGACCTTTCATTAAAGGATTCTCGATTATTTTTGAAGAATTTACCGTCTTCACTCCTTCGAGATAGCTCCATCAGATTTTCACAGATTATATAGTTTTATAATTTGTTGTTCAAATAATAACGCGCGTATATATAGTGTCTTACATTACGCAAATATAATCTTAAACGCGATGACAATTTTATAAAATATAGTTTTATATAAATTTCTCAAAAAAATTGTTAATGTGTTTACCTATTATTTATAATTATTTATTAGACTTACAAAGACATGGTCATGTTTTCGGATCTTTATGTGATTTGTTAGGTAGTTCCTTGGACCATCGTATACATATTTCAGACCCACCAAAAATTCTGAATCGCGGTCACAAGATGCTACTGTTTATTGCACTGTGGTCTGTGCTGACGCGTAATCGAGAAGATAGATGCGGTTTGCCGTGGTTCGCAAGAATATAGGTGATTAACCCCTTGGATGTGCTCCTTGTGTATGGATAAATTTATCAATCGCTCGCCTATCCGCGTCGTGAAATGTTCGGAATCGCCGCAAAAATCGGCACTACGATCAATCGCGAAACCGCAACCGCCGCGACCGCATTATTTGTATGTTACACAAGTAACAACGTACAAGCACGAATTAAGACATTAAGTCTCTCGGATCTTTTCTCTTTTGATCGCAATTCTGATAGTACAATAGATAGGAAGTGCTGTTTCTAGAAATTTATATGTATGAAACATACACGAAAATTTTACTGAGATACCTAAAAGTTTAGCTGAATACAGAGATCTGCAGGAAACATATTTTATTGAGCTATCGAAATAATCACGAAGGATGCTTAAGCTGGTTGCTAGAATGTCGTATGCTTTCTACATAATAATTTTGAAATTCATTTTCTGCAGATTTAGCTTTTTTTTTTAGATATTTCAGCAAAACCGTTTCTGCAACGAAATTATTTTCAGCTTATTTGATGAAATAACGGGTTAACTTATTACCATAATGACTAGTAAAAAAAGAATGGAAAAATGTAACAAAAGAAAAAGAAAGACCATATGCTTTTATTTTTCTACTCTCAATTATAACACTAAAATCGATCGTCAAAAATTAGTACAATATTATTATAACCATTTTAGTAATTTAAAGTATTGAAACTTATTTTCTGGAGAAAACTCTATTTTCTGAGTTATGTCGTAATTTATTGCAGCATAAATAAATTAGCAACATATATCGTTCTGTTAAAGAATTAACACGTTTAACATATGATGTGTTGTACTTTGCCAGAATATTGTTGTTTAACACATCAAATAATAATTTCGACGTAAAGACATTTTGCGAATAATATTGCGCACTAAGAATGCTATCGAGAATAAATAATCAATTATTAAGTGGATTCAGTCAATTTGATTTACGATCCGCCAACGTTCGACCGAAAGGAGGTCCAGTAAAATATTATTCGACTGCGACAAGAGATTATGTCCGACGGCTGCTTTAGGCAGTACGAGATAACAGATTAACAGCGGCCAAAATAAATAGGATCTTTTGACGCATTTTTATCAGTGCAACGGTATCGCTCTGAGCCACTTCCAGCGCCACCGGAAAAGCTCACAAGACCACCTTATCGTTGACTGCTTTCTGAGAAAAGTGTCGACTTACATAAAGTATTATTCTCTACGACAAAAGCTTTACTGTACTCTTTTAATAATTACAAAATTAAACTTCTTCTTGTTAAAACACTTACTTCGGTAAAACGATTCGGCAATTTCGTGAAGTTGTTAATATAAATTATTTCACTTACAATTAATTGTACTGATAAATACAATTTTTTTATCATAATTTAATTTTTTTTAATTTTATGTTTTTATAAAAAAAAACATTTCATTTAATATCCTAGTTTAATTACAATAAAAATTAAAGGTATTACAAAATCTCGAAGATTATATATTTTATAACGCGTGTTTCTTTTTCGTTGCAAGATTTAACGGTGAAAGAGAAATTCTAGTCCTTGCAGTGGACAAAGACGGCGTGTCGTTAGGCATAAGTTAATTTGGCTTCTACGCGAAAGCCGAGCTAATGAACTATAAATAAGGGAGGAATACTTGTGCCAAGTGGACAGCCGCACTTACTGACCCTTCGTAATTAAAATCCCGTCCTAAATCAGGACTAGGGATACGATTAGACAAGGATCGTTCCTGCTCCGTCAGCTTACCACCAAATCCGCCGCGACCCTTACCTATTTGAGCGTTCACCTCACTTTTCGTTCTTACGCGTGTGTGTATATTTTTGAAGCAGCTTACCTTATTGCAAATATGAAGTTTCCGCGAAGATTGAAAGAAAACATGGAAAGAAGTTGCAATTTAATACAGGTTTCAGTGCATACAATAAAATGCATCGAAACCATTTTGTACAGCTAGATAAGTTAGAGTTATAACGCGGTTTAATAACAAATATATCGTGATTCCAGAAAGCATTATTATTAGAAACAAAAAATATGGTGGTCTGTTCGTGACCATACGG